CTGAGAAAATAAAGCGAGAATTGACTCAATTGGAGAGTTTATTACCCGAAATGAGAGTCAAGATCGAGGACTCAAACGATCAAATGAATAACGAAAAGGAAGGACTCCAACGACAAGAGAGCGAACGGATGGCTGAGGAGGCGATCGCTGCCAAGAATAAAGAGATCAAAGAGAAACCAATCACTAATATATCGCATCTCATTAAACGAAAGGTACGATTTTGGCATTTTTATGATTGCATTTTTAAATCTAGTTTTTGAACAATATCTTTAAAATCGTTAATTTGATGCTTTATTATTATATTTAACCAATAAGTGAATTGATTTAATTGAATTTATTGATACCTTTTAATTAGTGATTAATTAATTTTATTGCAATAAAAGCGTGAAAATGGCGATTCGGACCCGAATTCAAAGAAAGTTTGTTCAAACGGACACAACGTTCAAAGCAGTGATAACACATCTGATCAGACATTGGCCACCAATTAAGTTATCACTGTTTTATACCGGTATTTATGAATGCATCCAATGTTTGTAACCATAACTCTATATTGACTGAAATGTTTTTAATTCATCTCAATTTGTATTTTCCATTAAATCATATATAAATTTGTACTTAACATTCACTACAGATTTAGTACAACTGAGCTTTTTTTACACTAATATTCTACTCATTATTAAATCAATTTATTTTAATAATTACTTTGATTTTTAATTTTTATTAACGTTAGTTAAGAATGAGTGGAAGTTTGAATAGTTTAGGTAACGATGTATTTCTTTCTCACAAAATTGTATCCATTTTTAAACCTTTTATAAATTGGCTTCAATTGTATGAAAAACAATATTTATTTATTAAAATCTATTCTTTGATTTGTATTAATTTGTTGAACAATTTTGAAAATGTAATATATCTAAAAGCTTTGCTCACAAACCAAATGTATTTCAACCTATAATGAGAGGTAAGGTTATTGAATGAAGTGCTTGGACTCATTCAAAATTAATTATATAATTAATATTTATTGCTTTTCATTTGAAATGTTTTGCAAAATAGACTTAATTTTTTGATTCTTTGTAAATCAAATAAACTTAAAATTCGACAAAAATAAACCCTAAAAGAGAAGTATATTTTCACTCGTCTTTCAATTCATTTTTGTTTGTCTTTTATTCATTAGACAATAGAGAAGTAATTTTGTAAATCTATTTAATGTGTCAATACATGCAATGCTTAATGGAATTGTATTGAAGAGATGGCAACAAACATAGTAAAGATTAAGGAGAGAGAGAGAGAGAGAGAGAGAGAGAGAGAGAGAGAGAGAGAGAGAGAGAGAGAGAGAGAGNATCCTTTGTGTTTTTAATTATAAGAAATATTAATAATAACTTAATTTATTCTTTAGGTTTTAGATCAATGAATGAAGAGATGAAAGGAAACTGAATTAAATGTTCAATTGTAGACAATAACTGGAGGCTTATTTGGTAATAGCTGTTCAACCATACAATCGGTGCATACTTTTATAGAATACAGTTTTAGCTAAAATTTAATTGATTTTTTTGGTAACAAATGGTAATTCTGTTATTATGTGTGCAATAAAAGAATGTTTAGATTTAATTCACTTTCCTTTCATCTCTTCATTCATTGATCTAAAACCTAAAGAATAAATTAAGTTATTATTAATATTTCTTATAATTAAAAACACAAAGGATTTGCTTTCAAAGTAGATTTTTTGTGCTCTATATTTATATACAGTGCTGTTCTGTATATACAAAACACATTATATTAGTTGCAGTTTTATAGTAACCAAATGTGAGGATTAATGTATTGATCATTTGCTGTATTAACCATTTATTAATCACTTTAACATTTATATAACTATAGAATGTGTAGCACAACTATTCTATAAACTACATTATTCATATCTGAATTGTGGTTAAAAATAAAAACTTATAAATTAATTACAAAAATGATTTTAATTCATGTCTTGAATCACTTTCATAATTATATTATAGTGAGAATACTTCAAACAAAATAAGCCGTTCACACCATTTCCTATTGTATTATTTTATAGTAAATAACATTATATGACAATATTGTGGGAATATATAGTTCTCAAAATATTTGCCAATTTGCAGGTAAGCAACGGATTCTTACAACATGTTTATATACAGATATTAATAAATATCAGAATATGATTTAAATAAGAAATTAATATTATTAGAAACATTCAAATGTAAAATCACCCAATTTTCTAATTATTAATATTTTCAAAATAATGTCATAAATTGTCAATAATTTGTATTTCAAAATTGAAATGATATAACTTAATCTTAATCTTGCAATATAATTGTCGTTTCACTATCACAAAGCACTTTTGAGTTTACATTTGATCGCAATTATTGTGCTTTCAATGCCTACCAAATTGGTAGTACTTTACTATGGTAGTACCAATACATCATATTTTGTCGTTAAATCAATTGATTGTCTTTTTTGACACTTTGTCAAAGTTCTTCACATAAAAAACGAAATGCTTTACACCATTTGGTTTCAAATAAAATGTTCACAAAAATGTGATTATAAATATGAGTAGTTTTTAACAATACAATCCATGAAAATGAATTTATATAAATCCACTTTAGTTGATCCAAATCAATAGAAATGTGTATATTTTTGCTACAATACCTCTGCAAGGAATTTAGATACTCAGAGGTTTGACTGTATATTACATGTGTTTAATAATATGTTTAATGTTTTGTTTAATAGTAGAAACTAATGATCACAGCATTCCAATGTGTCAACGTAGTGCAAACTTATAAAAAATAGTGCACATTATTCGTACACTATTCACATTTATAGTGAATAATATATAAAAATTACCAAGGGCAAACATTGACCACGTTTAAATAATAAAGGACCCTCTCTATTTTGGAATACGCTGCTAATGATACTATAGTATATTTTTAAAATTTTAGTAGAATTTTTAAAAACACTAATTTAGTAAAGCAATTGAAATGCAGTACAGTATATGACTATCTCGTGAGTTAACAAATTGTAATCAAAAGACTAAATATCTATAAAATAGCTCATTAATGGTGACCAATGGAGAGGTTATTGTTGTTATGTTTTTTCTAACAAATAGTACTGTATATAAAATAAAAACAAATCATGGTTGTTAGAGGCTCTAACTTAGATCTTGGCGCTATTCAACTAATGCCACGGTATGTTTGTAATGTAATGTACATTGATCATGTGTCTGGCCAAAGTCACAATGTCAAACTGTTTTTTTTGTTCACATATTCTATGCAATTCATATCCAGAATATATTATTCCATATTGAGTATGTGACATGTGTTCATGGTATTTTCTCTATTTTCTTCAAATAACTTGATTAAAAGTGCAATGTTTTTACACGACTTTGCTTTACATATAAAATCAATATTAATATAAAAGTTTTATTATTTTTATATAGAATTTCCAACAAATTAATTATTATTTAGAGAGAGAGAGA